ATATACATACAAATTGTATAAATACATTTATACAATTTTATATTCCTACCTTTGTCATCCAGCAAAATATTTTCTGGCTTTATGTCTCTATGGGTGATGCCAAGGTTGTGAAGATAATCCTGTAAAGGTGCAACCAAGAAAATAAATAAATATAAAAGCATGAGTTTGGACATGTTAAAACCGTCTGCATAAACTCACCACGGCGGCTATTAGCTGCTGAAAAAATTTATGAGCATCTTTCTCTGGCATCCCAACATCAGGCTCTGAAAATGAAGAAGAAACACCAGATGGCAGAAATGTTTTCAACAAGTTGAACTAAGAAGATTATATTTAAGCAGAAAACGAAAGTGCAGCAAGTGCAGAAGAGATTATTTAAGAAATGCTGAAAGAGTGTTCAAACTCTGTTTAGCTTTTTCCATATATTTCATGTTATGGTCACAAGCTTTAAAGGATTTATTATGATTTTACGTGCCAGAACACAATAACAAGCAGAAATATAACATGAGAAGTTTACAGTTTTCAAAAACTTCCTTTCAAGTTCTGGATACATTTTTATTACATTCTCCTTTTAGGGCTGTGTTTTAAAAAAGATTTCCCAAATCTGAATGAATTCTTATATTACTTCCAAAAGATTAAATTACAAAAAGATCCATTTTTAAAAATGCATTTTCCACAGTTCTTACACCTCCCATTAAATACAATTATTGTAAAGTTTTCTGTTCAGGTAATTAAGGTAATAGCTAAAAAAAATAAAATAAAAAATGTATGACCGCTATTCAATTTGATATCCAAATGAATCAGATCGATCAAAAACAATCTACCCTAGATCTTACAAAGCTGAACTGAAATGAAGGCCTCAAAGAAACATTCATAAACAAACGGCATCATTAGCATTAAGAAACATAGCAGAGATCAACCGATGCAGGTTTTCTAAGGCCAGTGATGATACCGGTTACTTTGAAAACAGGCTAATCAATCCCAATACAAGGTGCCAATTTTTGAAGTCGGTATTGCTTTTTCTTCCTTCATCTACGAGATAAAAATACACAAGTCTCAATTTAAACAAACAAATAATGTAAATAATAAAAATAAAAACTAGTTATGGAGGAAGCGCAGAGCATGTCCTTAGCTGCTGAAGCCACTAATAAATCGGTCAAAGCATGCAGGTATTCGGCAATGCTGAAACGAGAAAAAAAAAAAAAAAAAAAAAACTATAACCAAAGAATATCGCTGGTCAATGTCACGGTCGACCTTTAAAACCTAGCAGACAATTTCAGAGATACAGATCTGGAAGGTTTAAAGTTTGTTCAGGATTGCCTTTCGACTGTTCTAGTTAAACAGTTCAACTGAAACATCATTAGTTCAACGTTTTAATTTTCTTTAGTCTAACTTTTTTTAATATTCCTTTTTGTTTCTGCATTTTTTATTATATTTTTCCCCTACTTGCTTCAATTCTGTTTTACTTTCCTATATTCTAATCATGTAAAGCACTTTGCATTGTCTTTGTACTGAATTGTGCTATACCAATACATTTGCTTTGCCTTGCCTAAAGCAGGTTAGTATGGATGATTCAATGATATGCTCGAATCAGAGATATGCTCACAAACCCGTTGGCTCTGCTTGTAGATTTATTTTCGTTGCTCTCAGACTGGTGTTGATTGTTGCCTGGCAACCTTTCCAGCCAATAGAACAACGGCCTCAGAAAGGGTGAGCTTGTATTAAACTACTGAGTTGGCCTGAAACTGACAATAAAATTGAGAATTGACCTAAACAAAAAGTCACCTAAATATGAATTTGTAATCACCCCTCATAGTTGTTTTGGTTTTTATTATGTTTTCCTAATTGTTTTTGTTTTCAGCGTCTTATTTCATTAGAATATATGTTTTAAAGTAATAGAAAAGTAAGAAGAAAGAAAATAATAAAAGTAATTTTATTAGCAGTAACAAGATTCAGGTGAACTCAGTAGAGGAAAACAAGCGCACGCCGTTTTATTGGCTGGAATGTTTGCTAGGCGACGATCAAACTCCATTCTGAGAGATAGCAAAAAATCCACGTACGCTTTTAGTAGAACCTAGAGGTAAACCCACTCCTATTCGTGCAATATTATCTCCATGTTCCTCCCATCAATATACATTCAACTTTTAGAGTGACTCATTCAGACGTTGCTCTGATTCATCTGCAGCCGCAGTAAGACGGTTATACAAAGGGGCAGAGTTTTATTATCGGTTAATAAAACTATTTAGGAGTAGTGGCCCACTACACTGAAATATGCTGGCGAGAACCTTGCAGTACACAAAAGTAGAGGGAGACTAAAACACACAAACCTATCAACACGTGGCCAGAGCTTTGAGGGAAACAGCTAACAGACATGTGGCACCTTTGTTGGCAGGGCAAATATGAGTCTTTCATACATTCAATCTGGCCTTAATAGTGACGTAAAAACAGGAAAAAGATTATGTTCAATGAAAGTTATTAGCAGTCCTGTTACTGACAGTGTACAGGATGCAGAAACATGCTCTAATCAAAGTTTTCTTCAGGGAGGCTGGTTAGAAATGCTGGGTGGTGGAACTAAATGTAATTCAAGAAGGAATTGGAGGAAAAAGAAATATGACAAAAAAACACCCTGCAACAACCAGTCCAGAAAGTCAGTGAGTTGCATTACCAATCCGGTCGAACAGCTCTCCTCCGGTGCAGTACTCCAGGAAAAGATAAACAGTTGGTCCCTCTTTCCGATGACCAAAGAATCTCACAATGTTGGGATGGATGAGCATCTAACAGAGAGCAAGTGTTATAAATTGTACCCTGTGAAACTTAAAAGTGCAAAAATAAGCAGCCTACCTTATGGATGCAGACCTCCTTTTTGACATTTTCTGCACATTCTTTAGCCTGAGAGGTATCAATCACCTTCACTGCCACTGCCTCTTCTGTCTGTCTGTTAACCAGCAGCCTCACTCTGATACAATCAGAACACAAACATAGAACCTTAAATACAAAGCACGAAATTACTAGTTACTTGTAGACGATCTGAATGATCTAATGAATTGATCAAGGCATGCAGGTATTGGCCGATAAATACAAGGAAAAAGAAAAAAGGCTTACACAATATATCCATTTTTTGTGGACATTTGTTACCTTTTCTCTGACTGTTCCCTAAGCTGAGTGTTAACGGTTTTTCAATGCATAATGCACACAACTTTGACAATGCAAACAGTTTTTAGCATCATATATTTTTAGAAAATTACAAAATAAACACAAGGATATTTTGTTTTGCTGAAATCGCCCGAGGGGTCCGTTAAAAGTGGAAATACATTTAAATGTTTTCAATATAGACCAGACAGGGTGGTGATTTGCACAGATTCTAAAGCTGCAATGAAAGCATTCATTCAGGAGGAAATAATAGGAAAGACCTTGTATTAGAAATGAATCAGAGTTTGTTTAGGTTATTTAGGTATGGAATAGATGTTGAGTTCTTTTGGAAATGAAATAGCAAACAAGATAGCTAAAAAGTCTTTAGGAAAGCAGAATACAGATCTGATTCCATTCGGGAAAGGGGAAGGTAAATCATTAATTAAAAAGAAAGAAACAGAATTATGGGGAAACAAATGGGATTAAGGTGAGAAAGGAAGATTATACAGGGTTCAAAAATTATGGAGAAAGAAGCAGAAGGGAAGAAATCATTAATACTAGATGAACTGGACATACCTACTTGAATGAGTTTTACTTTGTACTAGGGAAGAGAAATAATGGGGAAATAATTTACAAAGAAAAGGACATATGGATTGTGCTTTGATGGATTGCAATAAATATGCAACAGAGAGAGAGGATGAGGAAAGTAATTATGGGAAAAAGGGGAGGGAATTGAGTATTAAAGGAATTTTAGGGACAGATGGAGATAGGGAAGACTATTTTGTTTTTATTTTTACATAACACTAAAATAAAAAATAGAATATAGTAGGTGGAACTATAGAGCTACACACTCATGTACAGTAAGTGGCGGTATGCACCTGTAAGTTGTTTGCAATCCGCTAATCTAACAAAGAAGAATGTTTTCTAATTCTTACTCTCCGTAGGCTCCTTCTCCTAGAGTCTGAACGACGTCCCAGTCCTGTACAAAGGCCACCGCCATGCTGCAATAAAAACAGAAACTGATCTGAAACAGGCTGCATAGATCCAACAATCACCAACTGTCTATTTAAACTCTACCATCTAGACTGCAGACGTGCTGGCAAGGATTCTTGACTTCAAATGTCACAATTAATAGATTTGAACACACCTTGAACTTTATTTGAACGCCTAATGTCAGTTTATTAAATCCTACCTGTACAGTCTTGCTCTACAGCAGCCGTTTTCGGACCAGGCGATTCGGTAAAGAATAAACTATCCCTGTCATGTGTCTACGGTAGAAAATCCTGACGCAAATTTCGCGCGTTGTTGTGTTACCGGCGTTAACTTCCGCTTCTCTTGCGTCACTTCCGCCAGACGATGTTTTTTTTTTTTTTTTTTAGCGCCTGTGCTCTGTAACATCGCCATCTGCTGACTGAGAGACTGAGAAATAAATAAAATAAGATAAAATTAGTATTCAGCATTCATAAATGTCTAACGAAATCATAGAAACAAATAAATACAGATAAATAAAGAAATAAAATGAAGTATATACAATTTTTAAATAATACAAAAATTAACAAATATTTATTTATTTGCTTGTCAAATGTCTAAAATATATATATATATATATATATATATATATATATATATATATATATATATATATATATATATATATATATATATATATTATGTTTAAATGAAACAAATCAGCAAATGTCAAATTTTAACCTAGAAATGTTTATAACTATAGAAGTATTTCAAATGTCCTTTTGGAAAAAAAACGTAATAACCACTCTTAAGGAGAGAGAGAGTTACATAAACAGGTTAATGAATTTCTTTATGCTGTATTAATATATTTGAATAAATCTAAACATGATTTTTTTATTTTATTTTTTTACTTTATTTATATAACAAACCAATAGTGTACAAAGACTTGTTGAGGTACAAACATTACAACATGGGTAGAAAAAAAATAGACAGAACATGGGGCTAAAAATAAGAAGAGATATATAAACAATAAGGCCAATTAATAAATATAGAGCAAGATTTAAAACAAAAGAAAAGTAGAAATACTGGCAGTTACTTTTTTGGCAGAAACAGATTTCAAATGTTTCAATGAGGTGTAATACAATTCAAACTGGTTAAGAAAAAAAATCAAAACAAGGAGTAGAACCTCTCCATTTACAGCAATGTATATGATTTTTTTAAACAAGTAAAACAATGATATAATTAGAATGGATACAATTATCATTTATCTAGTCTTATTAACTTTATTATTACAAAGTTTAAAAAAAAGTTTATAAAGAGATGATACAGATTAGCAGTAGTTACTCTGCTCAATAAATATTTTTTCTATTCAGATGAAAGTGATTTCATTCAAAGTAAAACATAAAAATAAAAAGTATTAAAATAAGGAAAATAATATCCTACTCTTGTTATTGTCCTGATATCTTTATTTTTTTTATATTCAATAAAGTAACTTAAATTATACCACAAGTCAGATTGTTTTGGGTTCAGTTGGAGGTTTGTCCAACGGATGTTTCTGAGAAAAGATAAAGAGCAACAACAAAAACATGAAAAAAGGAAACAAAAGTGAAACACTGGAAAATATCTTTTAACCAACTACGAAGGTTTCTTAATTATTTCAGGAATATATATTTTTGTAGAATTACCCTTTTTTAAACAATCAAAATATTTAAAAGTTCTTCAAGAACAGATTGTAAGGATACCATGCAGTTTATGCCTGTGATAAACTTCATAAACAAACATCACTCAAATGTGCCCTAGTTTTCGGGAAATGATGAGGCAAATGTTTGTACTTTATCCCTGTTTCACAATGATTTTGTTATTTTATCCAACATGTGACCGTGGGTGTACACAAGACGGGAAAACCAGAATTTCAAAAAAGAGAAAAGTTTTGGCCTACTTTAGTTTAACCGACAGATCAATACTGAGGAAATCAGCAAGACAGTCTAAATATTCCTGCTTCGCTCAATCGTAATCATTAAGATTTTTTTTTGTTTTGTTACATCTTTGTCTTCTTTGGACAAAGATGTTAAACTGAATACTCTTGGTTAAAAAGTTTTAGGGCATCCAACATATTGATTTCCTTTAACTGTTCAAACATGTAATGAGTAACAGACTGGTCTTTGTACAGCCCCCCCACTCAGGACTTTTTCATCAACTCTGAAATAAATTAAATGCTCCTGCTATTTCATCACATTTCCTGTCTGTTAGTCTGAAACATGGGGACTTCTGGCAGCTGGAGCTGGCTTGCTGCACTCTTGTGTCTCCTCAGTTTGGGTAAGGCATTTCTAATTAACAAACAATATCAGCTTTCAGATTTTAAAATGTTGAAAATGTCCAGGTATCTAGCAAGCACAGTTAAGGGATTTTTAATTGACAATACCCAAGCTTAAAAGTTCCTCTTTCCAAGTTAAAAGAAAAAAGGTGCCGAGATAATAAGATAATGTTAATGTGTTTGAAAAGTGATATTTTAATACATGCAAACTTACATAAGATGTAATTTTTTAAAAGAAATGTTTTAATTCGGGTAAGCATTATTGTTTAAAGGCTTCAACCAATAAACATTCATCACAATTTTGTGACGACTCCAGGCTTTTGATACCATAAATCAATATGAATGCAGCAGTTTTAATCTATTTTGAATTTCACAATGCTAATTTATAATAGTATCATGATTAATGCATATCTAAGTAAGTAAGTTTAAATCTTTCAAAATTTTTGTTAATGTAAAAGCTGTGGACCATGTTTAACAGACATTGTACGTAGTTAAAGTTTAACCATACAACACTTCTTATGGATAAAGAAACACGCGGTTCCAGTGAATAATATGAAAAATGGAAAAAAGTTTAAAAAAATACCTCATTGATAAAAATACATCTGGGAATCTGTCAATTAACACTAAAAAATCATTGAAATAAGGAGAGCCCCTCGCTTTGTCCAACCAAATGAAAGTGTTGATTAATTCTGTTACACTTGATATTATAAAAAAAAAAAACAATTGTAATAAATTAGAAAGATTTCCAACTCTCTACCTCCAAACCCTTTGTTTGCGATTTGAAAGTCAGCTGTTTTCTTTGAAATTTTGCGTACCAATATCAATCCTGAGTATAGTAAAACCGTCTTTGACTGATAATATTTCTTCAGCACATTAAACTAAATAATAAAATTTGACATCAAATTTAACCAATAAAGCAACTATTCTGTAGATATAATAAAACATTTCCATTAGTCCTAAAGTGATTCCTAAAATAATTAGATGCTATATTCAATTTCTGTCTCCTTTAGGTGTTGAGGTTCTGTGCAATTGTACTCGGAATGATTTGGATATAGAGGGAGGTGAATATACGCTGTCCAAGAATCTACTGCCAGGCAGCTTACTCATCTACCAATGTCATGATGGATACTATCCATATCCTGCTTTGACTCGCCTCTGTCAGCCTAACGGCTCCTGGAGACCCCCACCCAAAAGGTTTCTACCACAGAGATGCAAACGTAAGCAGTATATCTTTTGAGGTTTCAGAATTTACCTAAGACTTCCTCATCTGGATAACAGCTGACTTTCTTTCCTGAAGGTGTTGAATGCCCTGACCCAAATGTGTTAGAAAACGGGAACGTCTTCCCTGGTCAGGAAAAGTACTATGTGGGCGATGTGACATCGTATGATTGCTACTCTGGATACACCATGAGAGGCTCGCCCAGTCGGGTTTGCTTACCGAATGGGAAATGGAATGGCTCCACTCCAATCTGCAGCCGCGACTGTGAGTCCTGAGCAGCTTTATCTTTTCATTTTACCATGTTATAAGGGGCAATGAAGTTTTGTGTGTGGGACAAACAGACACACTCAGAGTTTATTGAAATATGTAGAAAATAGTATTTTAGACAGGACAGGACTTGATGATATAAAGTTTAGAAAAGAACAAAAGTGTATTAGTGAATACATCATGACATTAGATTACAGTACATGATATATGTAGTATACATGTGATCACATCTTTTTACTAATAATATGAAACATAGAGTTTGCATGATTAAGGTGTAATGACCAGAAAACGGAAGACCTAGAATTAAACCTGAAACATTGAGAGACAGGTAACAGTTTATTGGAATGTGAAACTGCCACAGGTTGGAAGGGATTCACTCGAGTCAGCAACCCAAACTTCTGGAAGGAGATTGGACATATGAGTGACAAGACAGAAGCAGAGGGAATTGTTTCTAGTGTTAGATTCCGGGTCACTAAACATCTCGTGTTTGGGGACAAACTTTGAGAGTTTCCAAAGATGCTGGTTGCCATGTGACATCACTGGTGAATCTCAGAGGGTTCCGTAAAAGTTTAAAAACAATCCACTGGACTTGCTTTCCAAGGTTTGAAGACTCAGAGGGTTCCTAAATCCATGCAGACGGATTAGGAGGAATCCTTTTTTGAGAGTTACTTGTTGGTCCAGGGAAATGCACAGGGTCAGAACTGTGAGAGCAGAGACAGACAGAATGATCAAGGGGACAAACCAGAGTATGGAATCCAGAGACGGTCTAGAGTCAAAGCCAGGTGATCCGAGATCCAGAAATAATCCAGCCGAGAATCTGAGAGTGAGTTCAGTGGACAGATAACAGGTAAGATCCAAAAAACACACAATGACAGGTCCGGTAGGGTTCAGGCAGTTTTCAGAGAATCAGGGGGCAGAATCAGGTCAGAATCATGCAGACAGGTATACATGCTAGATAAAACTCACTGACGGCTTGTAATAATCGGGCGCTATTGACTGGTCTGGTTATATAGTCAGGTGAGCAGGTGAATCTGATGGAGCCTGATTGGAAACAGGGCGGAGCTCACAGGTGTGTTGAACCCTGAATCAAACCAGCACTAGTGCCAGGAATTATGACATTTAGTTTAATTTTCATCAACAAAGCCAAAGTATTGATGTAGGCCTCCCCTCAACATTTCTGGTTTGAGTAAAACATCCACTTCAGTGCTTACTTTTGGAAATAACAGAGGTCATAGTGTCTTATCTTTTGTTCTTTGCACAGCCGGAGATGCCTGTCCTGATCCTGGAGTCCCGCCTGGAGCCTCAAGAGTGGGAAACATGTTTGGGATTGACGATAGAGTGAAATACAGCTGTAATGGCAACCTGTTTTTGATTGGCTCTAAGGAGAGAGTGTGTCAGGAGAACGGCCAGTGGACAGGAAAAGAGCCAGCATGCTACTGTAAGATTTGATGATACCTTGATCGTTTATAACGGCTGAACCACTGATATGTGCAATTTGTGCCAAAAAAACGTTCAAATTCAGACATCTATACTTTCTTCAATAAGTGATTATTAGTACATGAAACATTTAAACAGTAAATACATGACAATACCTCTAGTGTGACTCCCTGCACCAGGTATATGGAGTTGGTCCTCCATATAAGTAGCACATAACTGAAAAATAGAAGGAAAACAATCAATGGTATTAATGAATTTTGAAAATTGAAATGTTGTTAATTGTATTTAGTGTCTGTTAAATAATTTATACTATTTATTGATGTTAAGCTTTTCACGACTGGAATAATTACTAATTATTCCTTAAACTTGGATTAAAAATAATCTGTTCATAAGTTTAGACTATACTTGGTGTCTGAAAGTTCGATGCAAATATTTACAGTTGTGAAAGCAAGACATGGGAAAGTATAAGTGGTATGAATGTGTATACATTTATAATATTTTTTTCCTATTCTAACCTCTGCTTTCCAACTTTAAGTTGTCAACATCTCAGAAATGCATCTATTCCCACAGCCGGATCTTGTGAGAGATTTGCTGTGCAGTTTAGAAAAAAGCAGATTAAAAATATTGTATTAATCTTTTGAAAACATTTGATTTTGTATTTTTACTGCTTTTGTTTTGGGATAAAAAAAAAACCTAAAAATATTTAGAGATGTCTAATTAACTCCCTTTGCTAGTGGAAATGTCTGTACTGGATTTGATCCTTTTTTGTGCAATTTCAGCTCCTGTAATTTAAATCTAAAGTAAATATTGTGTTTTTGCTGCTATCCCTTTAAGTCAAGCACACATATGACACCCCAAAAGAGGTTTCGGAAGAATTTGGAAGTGCCATTAAAGACACCCTCACCACCAGTCAGTCACTAAGTAAGTTCCTAAATTAATCATATTACTCTTGCTATTTCAGACAATGAATGTGTCTAGATCATTTTTCTTTAAAAAAAAAACTATAGCAATGTTTCCCTTTTGTACTTTCTAGTAACAACTAATTGTTCATGTGAAATGAGAATACCTTGTAAAAAATAAAGCAAATGACTCACTCAAAAATTCTCTCGTTTTACAGATGATACCCAAGAAGGGAGAAAAATCAGGATTTCAAAAAATGGGACTCTCAATATCTATATTGCTGTTGACATTTCTGAGAGCATTAAAGAAGAAGAATTTGATGAAGCAAGAAACGCAGTTATTACCCTGATTAGAAAGGTGAGACACAAAAAGTAGATAGTGGCAGGAAAGCCTGGCAAGCTCTTTAAAACATGGTGTCATATTTATTACAGAGATCGTCACTTTCCATTGGTGAATGCTGTTTTTGGCCGGTAATCAAATTAACTCTACAGGGTAGAATATGAACAAAAGGACATATTTAAAAGCATCAACAAATAGTTTGCTGGACCGGAAACAAAGTTCAGGAGATGTAGGTTATCCTGTTGAAGGGTCCACTGACAGCTGACTGAGTTTATGATACCATGCAAAAAGAATGCATCGAAAACAATGTTTCAGTTATTTATATCTTAAATGGATTGAATAGGTACGTACCATTGCTACATGCTGATCCAAGTGAAGCGTATTCTGCAAAAATTAGGTTTAAATATAATCAGCTAGATTTATTAATTGGAGTATTATAAATAAGCCAAATGTAATAAAATTCAACTAAAAAGCCTAATGATCATATCGCAGGTAAAACCACCCATAATAATCTACTAGAAGGTAATGTTGCATGAAGATTTTACGAGATTTGTTCGACTGAGAAGTATTTGTAGATACAGCACAGCTTTACCAAACAATCTCTTTAAGTTGTCTAGAGAAATATCACTGTTGGGAAGTACTACTGACATGAAAATGGTCATAAGAGCAAAACTAAAGAGAAACTCACACTTGAAACTTGCAGTAGAGTTACTGCCTCAGACATGGTTCTCTTTGCTCCCTCCTGCCACACCTACAGCATGCACTGGGGTGGTTTGCGTTCAAGTGGAAGCGGTCGGGATGAGAATCACCTCCTCAAAGTCTGACTCCATAGTACTCAACAAGAAAAGGGGTCGCTTGACCCCTTCAGGTTGGAGAAAAGTTACGGTACTGCCTCAACTGGAGGAGTTCAAGTATCTTGGGGTCCTGTTCCTAACTGAGGGGAGAATGGGCCCAGAGATCAATATACGGCTGCTGCTATAATGCAGACGCTGCACCAGTCTGTTGTATTGAAGAGACAGCTTAGCAAAAAGGCAAAGCTCTCAATTTATCGGTCAGGCTATGTTCCTACCCTCACCTACATTCAGGAAATCTGAATCATGACCAAAAGAACAAGATTCTGCATACAAGCAGTTAAAATTAGTTTCCTCTGAAGGGTGGCTTTAGAGATAGGATAAGGAGCTCAGCCATCCGGGAGAGGCTCGGAGTAGAGACACTTCTCTCAGACAACTTTTTCTGATGCCCCCTGCATGCCTTTCTCAGGGGGTTTTGTAGGCATGTCCAACCAGGAAGAGGACCAGGGGATGACCCATGACATGCTGGAGGGACTCTATCTCTTGGCTGGCCTGGAAGCACCCCGGGCTTACCGCAGCAGAGCTGAAGGAGGTGTCTGCGGAGAGGAAAATCACACAAAAAATCATAATCTTGACTGATGTTTCTTGGCTTGAGGCTCTTGCTTCATTGCCAAAGCATGCTTCTCGAAAAAGGACCCTGCTGATTAATAGATCACTTTCTCTATAGAATAACAACCATATGTAATAAAAAAACAAAAAAAACCCAGCTGTACTGCTTTAACAAAGCATTTCCCTGCAATCATTCAAGCTAACCGGTGCCCATAAAGTTGTGTCAGAAGTTTTTAAAAGAGCCTCACTGAGTTGTTTTCCACAGATCTCCTCCTTCAGTGTGTCACCAAACTACGACATCGTCTTCTTCTCGTCTGAAGTATACAGGGTGGTCAACATTCTCGATTTTTTGGATGGCAAAATAAAACTTAACTCAGTAATAGAAAACCTGAAAAATTTTAAAGTGGGAAGTAAGTCTAGGACAAGCACACAATGTCCTAATTTTAAATACAGCAAGACTGTTGCTTCTGGTTTAATATATGTTTGTATGTGGTTTGTTTTAAAGACAAGAACACTGGAACGGATCTGAACCTTGTCTTCAAAGCATTTGAGGGTCAAATGGGTTTTATAAAGGAACGAGTTGGAAAAGAGCGATTCAAAGATCATCGGCATGTCCTGATCTTTTTCACAGATGGTAATGGGCATGTTTCATGATATAAAAACAACTGACCATTACCAGTAATTACGTTTTTTCAATCTTATGTAATCTATTTAAGCTCTAAGTTACGATAATTACATGTTATAATTTAGTATGTTGGGGGTGCTAATGTTTTTACTGTGGGAATCTGCTACAACATGAGGAAGTATGCTTAGCTTTTTACAAATGTATTCAGTCTAAGACTTTTACAATTAAAAGCCTACCTTTGCAGGTGCCTATAACATGGGTGGATCTCCTCAACCCACTGTTGCCAGAATAAAAAACATGGTTTACATGAATCAACTTGGAGAAGCTGGATCAAGAGAAGAATATCTGGGTAAGCTTTCAACATTTTGCCTTAAAAAAAAGAAAGAAAGAAATTGAGATCCAATTTGGGCCATCATTTTATTACCTTGTAAGGAAAGACATATACAGTGTTAGCAAAGTTCCTGGCTGTTCAGAACCACACAGGTTTACCCTATGTACTTAAGAAGCCTGCAGAAAGCTGCAAAGGTTTTTCCATTTTTTTCCATTTTTTCCCCACTGTCAGACCCATCGGTAAGTGAAAATGGGGACGAGCACATAGGACGCCTTACGTAAACATATCAACAGAATGATTGACCATTAGGAGGACCACTTATTTTGATGATTCAATCGGAAAAATAACATCCTACACTATACCTTTAATATTTTCTAAAACTATGTTTTGCTACATATGCAAATGAAAGTCTTTTGGATATTTTTTTTTATTTACTTAATGAATCACATCTCTTGTAGCTCTATGGCTTAAAGGCAGCCAAATGGCAGGGGTTATGTTGTATTCTGTAAGCGTTTTTATTTTCTCACAAGAAATAAACAAAACAAATAGTCAAGAATAACATCCCCAAAAGCATGATGTTGCCTCCCCCATGTTAAAAATATCCCAAATTCTATTCAAGTGAACAAACAATAAATATATCCTTGGTACCAAATGCTAAGCCCAGTATATTTGGGAAACAGCTGAATATTCACAGAAAACTTTCAGATTGTGCATCTAAGCATGAACTGTTTTGCAAAGAATTTCAAGTATTTGCACGAAGAACAAATACATTAATAACTAGAACAGTATTTGAAGCAAGGTGCAAACTGTTTGTACTATTTTACTACGGTAAGGAGGGAATTTTGTTCTATTATTGTTTGGAAAAAAAAAGCTCTGTAAATGAAGTTGAATAAAATACAATCTAGAGATTAAACTTTGAAAGTCTTCTTACTAAAAAAAGTTTTTGTGAATACCTTTTTTATTTAATTTTTTTCATCTCGTTTTAATATATTTAATTCTTTCTCAAAATTTGTCCTTTTCAGATTAAAAGTTAAAACCGTGTTTTGCAGATTTTTCAAATTTTCTTCACCTCAAGCCCAATAAAAACACTTTCTTGACTGATGAAAGAAAAATGTGTTTGAATGCTCATTTATTTTGCTCATTTTAAAATGCTATTTTAAAAGAATGCGATCTTTAACATTTAACACTTAATCTAAAAAAACAAGGAAAAGTTCAAAAGTAAAAATTGAAAATAAAAAATCTGTAGAATATATGTTGTGAAAAAAATACTAGATGATAAAAAATTACAAAGAATAAAATCTGAAAAAAACAAACAAACAATTAAGTGTCGCTCAAAACTTTTTTAAAATAAGAAACACTTTAAGTTTAATTTCTGGATGGAATTTTGATTCCATTTACAAAATTTGCTTGCAAATAATAATTTGAACAAATTCCCTCCATACAACAGGCACCATGTTCTGTATATAAATTATCAATGAAGTATGTTTTGATTGTAATGTGATAAAATCTATTAATGTTTCAAGGGATATTTAAATCATGTAATCATTGAATTGTCTTTTTTACCAAATTTTGCAATACAAATAAACTTGCCTTGCCTTGTATGTGATAAAATATATAAATGTTTAAAGACTTATGAATACTGTGGAAAGCCTCTGAATTTCATGTCAGTGAATCACTAACCTATCACCACTTTTCAGACATCTATGTCTTTGCCATTGGGGCTGACATCTTTGATGAAGACCTGCAACCCCTCACTACAGGAACAGGAGGCGAACATTACTTCAGAATGAAAAAAATTGTAGAGTTACAGGAGACCTTTGATAAAATAATTGGTAAGACCTGTTAGAAAAGGAGAAGCTACATAAATCCTCTAATGTGTGTGTATGTGCATCCCTGTGTGTTTTCCCATAATTCCTCCTTCAGCAGTAATCTAACTCAGGGGAGAACTGTGATCATAAATGGGGGTCTGGTTGCTTCTCTACTTTCCAAAAGTAGCAGAGGCAAGCTGCTGCTCCTGATGTTGGAGGGGAATGATGAATTACCGGAGTGGACCGGTATCGAGTGATTAAATTGATTGATTGATTAAATTCATGGGCCATAAAGACTGAGAGTGAATGTAATATTTATGTATGTTGAACTACCCTAATTTGTCTTTAAAAGTAGATTCATGCTACATTTTGCTTGTACATACACATAAAGATACATGTGTTCTCATGTTTTTTAACTCCTTTTACAGTTTCTGAACACTGTGAAACTAAAGTCACAGACCATTATTTGTACACAAACATAATGAATAAAGTCGAATTGGATTCTGATTCTAAAGTTGAAATCCAGTAAAGAGAACCAACCACCAATATCAGAGCCTATTACTATAGTCTATATCTAACCAATATGCATTTGCTTTTCTTGTTTGCTTGTTTTTAATGCAGATGAAAGTGAAGTTGTTGGACTGTGTGGACTTCATAGAAATTATGAAACCACAGGGGACAAAACAGACAAGAGGAGAAAATATCCATGGCTGGTTTTCGTTATTAACCAGGTTGTACAATTTATCAATGAGTTAACTATTCAAAGGATGTATGTAGTAGAGCAAAAAACCATTAAGAAATTTAAGATTTATGACATTTGAAAACTTTTATTGAGTAAGTTTCTTTCAAGGCTACCTGTATATCAGTACGATAACCTAAAAGATATCACTACCCTTTCTTTAATCGTTGGTTGCATTACATCCTTATTTTTGCTGTAAGCTTTTCATCTGGGCTAAATTGATAAACTCAGCATAAATATATAAAGAATCAAAAGTATAGACCTACACTTATTATACTGCTTTCCTGTATGGCTTTAGGGGATAAAAAGAAAAACCTGCATCGGCTCACTGGTGTCGCCTGACTTTGTCCTGACTGCTGCTCACTGCTTCACCTTCGGAGATGAAGCGGAACATATAAAGATTGATATCGAGGATGGAGGCAAAAGAGGTAATGAATTACACTCACTGATGGCCTTATCAACCTCCAACTAATTTAATAAACAGCTGTAAGGCTATTATTTTCAATGAGTTTGACAATGAAAAGGAAACTATATTGCTACTGTTCAAAGATAATCTGTTGGTCTGTATGATATAGATACATTAAGTCAAATATTTGCAGAGAAAAAAGTGAAAAAGATCATACTGCACGAAAACTATAACCTCACTGCCAAAGTGAACGAGGGAGTTGACGAGTTTTATGACTATGACGTCGCTCTTCTCCGACTGGAAGAACCAGTGAGGATCTCTGATGTTGCAAGGTATTTCAAATTTTTTTCATTAAAAACATGGCTCATTTATTGATATAGCAGATTTTTTACAAACCCTTTTTTTTCTTATCAACTGCTTTACAGACCAATATGTATCCCTTGCACGCAGGAGACTAGCGATGCTCTTAACCTGGTTGGCGAATCAACATGCAAGCAACAAGGTCAATACCCTCCTATCTAAACCTGAAATCGGATATATATATATATTTCCAGCTTTTTATTGTCATTACACTGTCACAAGTACAGAGCAGCGAATTGAACTTTCTGCATTTAACCCATCTCCTTGAGGAACAGTGGGCTGACATTGTTCACGACCCAGGGAGCAGTGTGGGATTAAGGGTCTTTGCTCTGGGACCCAGAGTGGAGGCTATGGGAGTCAGGCTCATACTCAGAACCTCAGGATTCCAAGTTCTATGCCCTAACCACTAAGCCACCACTCCCCCCAATATACATACACTGTATTTTTTAAGATAGCCTTACTTTACGGTACATCTACACCTTATGGACAAAAGACATTCTTTTGAGAACCAGAATGTTCACATTTTGCGCAAAGAAACTAGGTGGTTTGAGAGGGGCATGAAGGAAGCCATCTATATCAAGAAAGAAAAACAACCTTAAAAAGAGGGGATGGACAGAGATTTCAGCTTTTAAAAACCTAAAATGAAGCAGTTGAGTTGATCCCTTCCTGTTGTCATCGCAACCCCCAATCCCTTTACATGGGAATAGAAGACCTCGCTTATTCAGCCAGACAAACAATTCAGTTTAGCGTACCCCTTTCAGACACATAGCAAGGTATGAGGCATTGCAGGCTATCAAAGAACACATTTAACTCCTCATGCAGGGCTTCTATTCAGTAAACTCCACAGTATGTTCTCTTGTTTGAAATTGAAAATTTTAACAAAACTAGATAAGTCAGTATTTTTTGTTTTCTACACCAACACTGACCAAAACAAGAAAATTGAGCAATGTTACTATTTTTAATAAAATAATGTCACAACTCAGACCAGAAACACCAAGGATTCAGGCAGGAGAGATAATAGGATTATTCAGAAAGCGTTTACTGGAACAAACAGGCTGTGGATCTGCAGTAGCAGAGGCTAGGGCGTCTGAGGCAGGAAACTCTGGAGAGAGGAAGCACAGGTTATGTATTATTGACTATGTTGTCTAAACAAGGAAAATTATGAAAGTGAGTCACTAACCTGGTTTGCAAGTTCCGTGTCCCAGATGCTGCAGCCCCAGAGAACAAGCAGGAGTCCGGAGACCGGTCAAGCAAACAGATCAGAACACGAACATGCAGGCTCAGTGGTTGAGGGGTAGAACAGGTCAGGATCAGGAAATCAGAAACACTAAGGAAAGCTAAAAACACTCTCACCACTGGCTAGAGAGAGCAAGATAATCAGGCTTGATAACTGGATGCAAGCAGCTTAAATAGGCAGGAGCAGGTGAATCAGATGAGCAGTGGTTAGAAACCTGGCAGAGTTAGACAGGTGAATGAATTGAATAATTAAGCATATCATCAGCACCAAGACCAGGTCAATAGTTTTAGATTTTAATGAGTCATTTATGGAAAAAAAAAACGTTTAAAAAAAATTTTGTATTCAAGTACAATGTAGAAACATTATTTTATGTTTGCTCACATAATGGAGATACTTTTATCATTTTTTTATTTTGTTTTTTACGCAGATATCGGCACTTTTGAGACCTCTGATCAAATGGTGGAATCCATTACAACAGTTTTAAAATAAATATAAACAGCTACTTGTTTCCATTTATGATTAAATTGTTTAAGGTGATCATATTGTCTTAAAAAATGTAACTGTTATTTAATGGCTGAGTATAAAGAACATTTATCTTCAACTTTTAAAAGTGAGGAACAACATGGGAACATGGGAACATAACTTTCAAGAAGTCAAATAAATGTGCCCTTAACTCTAGAGGACAAGTGATTTCTACAAGAAAACAGCTGCTCACATAGATAATAACATGAAACGTTTAAGAAGTTTAACTGGCAGATGACTAAAGTTTCCTTGCCACCAACCGCATTTGGAGAAGCTACAGTAAAAGTAGAAAGAGGAGTTTGTGCACATGAATGCAGAACGAATAAATGTATTTGTGTTCTGAATTAACAGAGGAGGTCCTGTTAAAGAATCATCGTGAGCGACTCAGTTTCCTAACAAGGAGGGAGCCTTTGGTTGCAGAAAAGGATGTCTTTGCCAAACTTGGAGAGAACGTGAGTTTGGTCAATTAGGCAACTTTGTTTTCTAACTCAATGCATCTCTGATGCTATCTTCAAATACCCTTTGCAGAGAGATCTATGCATCAAAAAAGCACTGCTGGCACAAGGCATCACCACAAAAGATGAAAGAGTTGCTGTGACTGATAACTTCTTGTGCACTGGTGGTCTGGTTGAACACAGAGATCATATAGCATGCACAGGTGTGTACAATCTTGTCACCTTTCAACAATCAACAATGGTGTTGCACTTTTCTAACTGAAAAATTGTTTTGACAGGTGATTCTGGCGGTGCTGTGTTCAAGAACCATGAGCAGAGGACCGTCCAGGTAAACATGTGTATGCAGCAACATTTCAAAATTGGTTATTGTATGGTGTCATTATTCTGCATAAAGTCCACACACACAATAAATACTCATGTTAACAACTTTACTTCATACAGGTGTTCATTAAGTCTTCCTCATATGCATGTTTAACATTTTACATGCGCTAATAGTGTACCACAGTGTCCCAATATATCACCCATACGAGGGCTAGTTAATTTTCTGCACGCGTGTGATTGGATATCTCCTGTTTCAGTCAACTTTTGTCACTTTGAAGGCATTACCCATCAGGCAATGCAGCCTGCCTGTGATTGGCTACTTTTCGGGAAATCCCACTACTTAAGGCTATAGTCTTCTTCCTTTTGGCAAAGCAACTTCAGGCTAACCGCTTCTCTTCAAGATTTGGAAGTTGGTACGCAAAGTTACCATTAGATATAACATTCTCTGGATGAATACTGACTGGCTGTAGGGTGTGTGTTAAAAAGGGTTATAAAACATTGATAATTTCTACCAAGTCAAACGTTACCTGGAAACGGTAAGACAGTTTACCGCTGGTTACCTTGACAACACGTCTCAACTCAAGATGCGAGATTTCCTAAAAAGTAGCCAATCACAGGAGGGTTCCCTTGTCTGGTGTGTAATGCCTTCAAAGTCACAAAATTTGCAATGAGCACACAGAAACATGTCTACACATGAGGAGGAGATGGATCAAGCATGTGTGTGATATATTGGGGCCTGTGGTACTCTATTTACAGCGTGTGTATGAAGTACAGCTAGGTGTAGTATTTCTTGCATGTGTGGACTTTTGACAGAATAATGACACCATATTATTAATTTCAAAGCCAGCACGTTGTCAACAAGGTTAACCAAAGTAAAAGTGTGTATTATTGATTCTCTTTTTTTTCTTCATAGATTGGAGTGGTAAGCTGGGGAACCCATCAGGTGTGTAGCTCCACAGATGGCCTGGTTGAGTCCATTGATGATTCCAGAGATTTCCACATCAATCTATTTAGAGTGATCCCTTTCCTTAATAAATATCTTGGAGATGACAGTCAAGACTACACACCACTGAAATTTCTGAAAAACTAAAGTTTCATTACATAACTTTTGCTTGTGATGCATTTTGGACTCATTCTGTCCAAACTGGCCTTCTTTCAGACTCAGACAGTTTGGTAGCATTCCACATGACAGGCAGTTTATTGGTGCATTTATAAAATGTGTGAAAATATAGTTGAAAAAAATCCTTTCTATTAAATATGGAAGATCATGTATGTATTTAATTTGGTTTTCAACCTTTGTTTCGCTGTTTTAATGTTACAAATGCTCTGGAAGATGTCCATATCTTTTCTTAAAGTTATACATACCCAAGTGTTTTCCTTGTCGTTATTTTATCTTTAGAAAGTTCCTTTATTTTTATTATTATTATCTATGAAAAAATTATACTTCTTGTCATTGTATGATGCTGTGGAATTCCCTTGATGGATTGTCAATCCATCACAAGGCAATACAGAGACCTGTAGCAAAAATTAATCATTCACATGCACACCCACACTCACACATTTTTCTTTTCTTATGGGGACATTTTATTTACTTACTTTCATTTTATATGGCCTAACTCAGACCCTTACCCTAAGCCTAACCATTACCAACATGCAGTATACAGTACCTAACCTGAACTGAGTTCACACCTTGGTCCTAAATCTAACCTCAGCTCAAGGAAGAGAACTTAACCATATGGGTACCAGGTATTTGCTCGCCATAAGAACATAGGTCGCCATGATGTGACTGTTTAAACAGATTTAAGACCCCACACCATGATAACAAGGCACACAAGGTAAACATTTTCTCATTCCAAAGTTTAACCTCTAAAGCCCACAGGTCTATTTTTCAAAAAAGACATACTCATTCAACAGAATAAACAGTTAGATTCTAATTGGCTTATTAAAGAAGACCTCCTTAACTATTTGCTGCAAATATATATAGTAATATAAGAAATATATAAAAGCAAGGAATACAATACAAACAAGGCAAAATAAACTATAGTATTAC